GGAAGCGAATGGGAGAGATCAAAACAAAACAACGGTCATGAATTAGAAGTACAAATGGAGGATTTGTAAAGAAGAATGTCAGAGGATTTCGATATAAGCCAAGAGGAGACTGGTTTTCCTTTGCTAAAGTAAGGAAACTTTGCTTCCTTTGCTCCTGTTAACAAATGTTGGTTTTCACGAGACTCACCGGCGCATGCGCAACGCTGAACTAACCCTTTTGGGTGAACTAACCCTTTAATTGTGGTAATTTTGTGTCTCTGGAAACAAGAAGTTTTTTTGTATTTTTATTTTTTTATAATTGTGGAGTAAAAAAAGTTTTGTTTTTTTGAAGAGAGATATTAAAATTAAAATGTGACTATTGGGGTAGAAAATATATTTTTAAATAATTTTTACATTTTGTAGCCTACTATGCCAGCTAAAATAACAAATGATTATATTTATTTCCCTTAATTAACAAATTGGCTGATGCATCATCATTATGTACATTATGTGCATCTTACCCTATTAGCTAATAATAACTACATTTGGCGGCTGTCTCTTGAAAATATTTTGCTGGCAATTTAATGTGGCCATTTCCTTTTCAAGACACAAGATGGCGGCAGATCATCAGAACGTCCACTAAGTTGACAGGAAATTCTACAGTACAGCTGGCACATTTAGGGTTTGTTTTCTATCCCTTATTAAAATTTCTCTACTTTTATTTTTAAAAGTCATTTTTATATAGAAACATATTACACCAGTAAGGGCCAGAAAAAAGACGTTTGCCCTTGTGACAGCTTTTCCCCAGTCTCTCTTATTTTATTTGTCTTGATTTTTTCTGTTGAACTACAGTATGATCGTAAATGTGTTAAGTATTTATTCATTATATATAAACGATCATTAAAATGAATTGTCTCAATAAAAATAATTACATTTTAAATGTCTTCTTAAAGGAAATAAAAACCAACATTGGATCACATCATCTTTGAATATTATTATCTTAAGTCTTTTGTATAACACCAACATTCAGTGTGGCTGAGACATGGCAGCTGGGCAGTCCTCTGCACCAGTAATATGGGCTGATTTCCATTCAGCCAATTAGTGTAGTATTTCTTGAGCTTTAAAGAGAAAACTCGTGTTCTCCCGAGAGTGGTCTTTGAAATATCCCAGGAAAAATGCAGTCATCAAACATTAAATAGAACAAATGATTGAATGATGAGTGTGTTTGAACAGTATTTTTTATCAGGTCAAGGTAGTAACAGGTTATATAATAAGGTAGTCAGTAGTACTTCACTTGCAATGTGAAATTTAACTCTACAAATTAAAACAGTTTATACAATTTTGATCCCAAACTGGTTAAAAAGAGGGAAGCAGGATATAGTAAAATGACATTTTATTTTATACTTTGCCTTTTAAATGATACCGGGGAAAAAAAAAAGAATTGTCCAGTGAAAGATAAAAAGTTTATTGCAAAATAAATCAAAGACAATTATTTATTTGATTGGTCTCTTGGTAATCATTTAACATTTAATGATTACTGATTAGTTTGACAAAAATGTGAATATTGCATAAATAATATATAGCCTATAGCTTATGAAAGGACATTTTAGTAACATGTACAGCATTTATGTATACTCAAAAAGTAAAGGATGGCAACAATGTATGATCAGAACATCCATTTTCATAAAAAAAAACAAAAAAAAAACAAGTCAGCCACTTCTGATAAATTGAAAAGATTCAGACGTACATAATCAATTAAATAACCATTATCTTCTTTGCCCGCACATGGAGTTTGCAGGGCTAGCAATATCGTTAGCACTGCTGAAAATCATGTTTGTGCATGTAAAAGCCAGTTCACACCAACATGAATGCTCGGCACAAATATTCAGTGCGATTTCAGACCTATTCAGACCTATTCAGACCAATGCGTAAAACACACAGACGCTGAATAAAAATGCAGTTTCACTCTCTGACAGTAGATGGCACTATAAAAGCTGAAAAAGACTAGTTATTCCAGTACACAAAGAGCTGCGTTTTCCATTTTTGTCATGGCAAAGGAAATAAGTCATACAGTATATACGTTTTCAAACAGCCATTCAGGTTTTTGTATTTAGGCTACTATGGTGTTTATTAACCAACGCCAAATACAAGAGTACAGAGACAAGGGAGCCAAGCTATTGACCACCGATCAGCAAAATAATCTGTTTGTGAATGCCACCAACTCTAGCTTTCTGTAACAACAGTGGTTCTGGGCAAGTGACCAAAAGCATGAATCTAATTGGTTGATAAGGAAAAGAGATTAGAGCACCTCTCCTTAAAAAAATCCTTGTGCTGGTCACACATTACTGGTTGTTAATTCAAATTAAAATGTTTATGGCAATGAATTGTCGCACCGAACATTTGTCTTTGTGTGAACAGGCCATAATGAACACAACAGACACTACAGCTGCATACTGTTAAACAACTATAGATAGCCCTGACAACCTCATCACAGCATGTTGAGTCGAAATAAATGTTGGAATGACTTTAAGTCATTTCTCTGACACATTCGTAGTCACCCACTGGTTCTTCATTTCCTATTTTGAGTCTCAGTCTTGCATTACTTTGTGTCAGATACATCACACCCATACCGTTGTGTTGTTCTCAGGTGGTTTCTCCTGTCAAACAAAATGATGAAATGTTAAATGGAAATGCAATTGTGCCATAACGCCACAGTTTAGCACATAAAAATAAGCTGATTTGTTGTTGAAGAGGTATGAGAGGATGTACATGAAGCTTTTGCATCATACCCGCTGCTGTTGTATGCAGTGTTGGGAGTAATGCGTTACAAAAGTAATGTATTACAGTAACGTATTACTTTTTCCTGTAACGCAGTAGTGTAAGGCATTACTAATACATTTTCAGTAATATTTTACTCGGTACATGTTCAGTAACGCTTGCGTTACAACAAACTTTTCGCCCGCAAGACATTAACAAATAAAAAATCCCGCAAGTAAGTTCTATTTCCTGTTCGTGGTTAGTGAATAGGCGCGTGTGGTGTCATTAATCTCCCTCTCGCTGGTGGAACTTTTTACTTTGTAACGCGGAATGATTTCAGCCTCTGAGCTCGGTTCGCAGTGGAAAAGCGGCAAATGGATGAAAATGGCAGAAGACAGTACATTCGCGAGATGGACGTACGCGCATTACTTCGATTTTGTCCAAGATAAGGACAAGAAGAACGTTATTGTCAAATGCAACCTTTGTATAAACCCAAGAGAATTATCGACGTCGAGAAATAGCACTAGCAATTTAAAAAAACATCTCGAGCGTTGCCATGCGACCACTCCACTTACAGAGAAGAGAAAGAAAACAGAGGACGAGAGTGATAAGCCAAAGCAGCAGAAATTAAGTTTCTCTCGGTCTGCCATCATGCCACTTGAACCTCGAGAAGTCAGAAGACTTGGTTGTATGTAGACCACTGCATCATGAATTGTAACAAAAATATGCTGAGGATTCATGTAGTTCATCAGCCCGCTTGATGTGAGAATCTTCAGTACACTCTCTACAGAAGAGAGAATATTTTATGCTCAGGAAATTGTTTGAAAGGTTTGTCCAAGTATATATACAGGTGCATCTCAATAAATTAGAATGTCGTGGAAAAGTTAATTTATTTCAGTAATTCAACTCTTGAATTACTGAAATAATTTTCCATGACATTCTAATTTATTGAGATGCACCTGTACAGTATGTGAAAACTCACCATTGCAGTTAGCCAGGTATATCCGTACCCCGAACTTTTGGCACTCCATGCACATCTGTGGCAGGATATAAGTTCTGTAAGCATATGACATTTTTCATGACGATGTTGATGGGTGTCAAAACAAAACCTATATTGTCCGGCTCACCTGTATGAATAACCGAGCTCCTGCAACATCCACGAAAATGACACTGCTGCAGTCTATCAACACAGCCTGGACTTCACCCTCAGCCATCTCTGCAGTAAACAATTGAGAAAACCCCATGGGTGTGAAACATCTGAAATAAAAGACACTTTAATGTGATTGTTGGTATTACTTGAACAAGTGGGAATGCACCTGATCTGAACAAGTCATTCTTTGAAGAAAATGAACTGTCTGTAACTCCTTGCTCCTTGAAAAACAATACAGTTATCCAATCAGATGTTTTCTTTACATAATATATTACTTTGTTGCTGTTAGAACAAAATCTCCAAAATATCAATACAAAGACATATCAGCATAAAAGTACAGGCCTGATTAGTAAAGCCTTTCAGAGGTTTACTAGATTTTAAAACCACTTGAATACTCATAAAATAAAACCACAACAACAGCTATGATAAAACACACTGGTGTTTAATGAAGAATTAAACTTATTATTTATAATTATCCAAATAAACAGCTCTTACACCAAGTAATATAGTTCAATATTCTAATTATATAATTACATGCAACATGACACATTAAAGGCATAGTTCACCCCAAAAAAAAATTCTGCCATCATTTACTCACCCTCATGTTGTTGCAAATCCATAAGACTTTAATCTTTGAAACACAAAATGTTCTGAGAAATCTGAGAAGCTTTTGTCCCTCTATTGAAAACCAAAACTTCCACGATCATAAAATGAATCCATATGAATCAAGCAGTTTTATCCAACTCTTGCGAAGATATATGATCACATTCTATGATGAACAGATTTAATTCAGGCTTTTATTTACATCTAAACAATGATCAACACACATCCGTAGAGCACATCACATATGGTAGTGGAAACTCAAAAGTGTATCAATGAGGTTGACGCACACACAATCTGCTATGTTTACCATATGTGATGTGTCCTATGTACGTATGTGTGTTTATATGTACACACAAGTCTAAAGTAATTATTTTTGGATCTCATAAGTTTTGGCTTTCAATAGAGAAACTCTCAAGTTACATTAAAAATATCTTCTGTGTTTTGAAGATTAACCAAAGTCTCATGGTTTGGAACATCATGAGGGCAAGTACATTTTGACAGAATTAAAATTTTTGGGTGAACTATGCCTTCAACACTGAATGTGCACTTGTGCATTTACAACAGCTCTGAATGTGGCTTATGAACATTCAGAACTAGTTTTTAATTCAAGCACATTATTTAAATAATCAGAGATTATCTATATTATTCAATATCATGCAACACATAAAATGCCAGTGGACTATCTATAGTAAGCCAATAATAGAAAAGAAAAAAAAACTTGAAGAGCATATTACATATAAACTGATGGATTGATCATCTTACTACAGAGCTAATGGCCTCTCTCTCTCTCTTTTCCATGGCCTTCAGGGCTTTCTCTCGGCTGCGTATCCTCTCAGGGGTGAGGCCCAGAAGTTGAGCCATATCAGCCTTAAAAAAGCTACGGTTCCCATAGTAGATGGGCCCATTGTAGGTCAGGATCTTTACACCAGGGACTTCATAGCACTGCGGTACAGAGGGATGAAGAGGGTATAATCACATTGTCAGTTACACAACAGAGATGTGACTAAGACAAATGCAGCAGAGCAAAGGTTAATGCACAAGGCCCAATTCTAATTATAGCAAATTACATTACATGTGGTAATAAGAAAAGAAACTTAATATGATGACTGTTGACTCACTTTATTATGGTTGTTGATGGATCTGTAGATCTCCGTGTTGGCGGCTCTTCCTAAAACAGAGCAGCTGGCCCTGAAAACAGAAAGTTTATTATGAGTTCAGAGACATCTTTTTGTCTCAACTTTATCTCCCCTTTCCTTAAATGTGAATTTCATATCCGCCAGGAGAGGAAGGTTGTTTTGGAACACAGGGGTCTGTAAGGGATACTGGTTCGCTGTTTTTATACAGCCCCTGAGCTTTGGAACGCATAATTAAAGCAGATAATTAAACCTGTGCACGCATTTCTTCAGCAAATACAATGAGTAGCTTCCTATACAAAAATCATTACTTACTTCCAATATGTTGCATGGTGTTGCTTAGAATTTGTTCTGAATTAGTTCTGACCTTAGCCATAGGGGTTTAATCTATTTTTAATTATATATATTTTTATAATCTATTATATTTTCTTTTCTAACAGAATATTTTTCACTCATTCATGTTTTTATTGCACAGATTAGAGTGAAATCATAATATATGTTTGGCTACCCTTAAGAGCTCTAGTGACCCCTAGTGGGGATCATGACCCTGAAGTTAGTAAACCTTGCTCTAATTTATAATAAATATCTCAAGAAGTGACTACATGAAAGCCCAAATAGTCATAATGGAAAGTGTCATTTTATCCATTAAACAGAATTATCCAATAAATTTGTAACAAAATGAGCATATAATGTCATAATGATACCTCTGTGTGCGACAGATAACTGTCATCATGGAGAAGACCACCCCAATGGCCAGGCCAAGGTCTACATTTAGCACAACTACCGAGAGCCAGGTTACAAGCCACACCATCTGCTCAAACACACATTACAAGGATTGAAATTAATCAGCTGGACACAATGCCAGTTAGAAATTAAAGATACTTCTCTGGGAACGAGAGGAGGTAAAAACATACAAAATCAATTTGGCTAATTCTCCAAAGATCTGGGAGATCCTGAAACAGCAGGAACATCTGTCTCAGGCTGGTCACATTTATACAAGCAAGAACTGCCTGCATTGGAGAGAAAAGAGAGAGACAGTGATGTTGCTGGTTATACTGGTAATTCTTTAAATAGAGCATGAAATCAAAAATTACCCTGTTTGTTTTGTTACTAAATGTCTATGACCCATAAGTAAATATTTACATTTATGCATTCAGCACACACTTTTATCCAAAGCAACTTACACTTAAGAAAATACTCTTGTTTCACTCTGAAATATGTCAAATTATGGAAGTTAAATTCATTGCAAATGTGCCATAGATGAAGGGACTCTTACCTTTGGTAAGAAGTAAAATAGAGGTCCTATCAGCAAAAGTACAATAAGAACAACCAGACTTGTGAACAGTCCTGCAAGCTGTTAAAGTACAGAAAAAGGTTTTTTATTGTATCTAACTCCTACTATGTTTGACAAACTTGTACAGAAAATTATTAACTTACACTTTTAGCAGTGAACATACTGCAGTATGTGTTCATATATTATCTCAGCAGAACCTTTACTGCATAACATTGCTTAGTTTCCTAACATGGTATAAGTGGTTGAAAAAACTGGAGATTTCAAACAAACTAGTACCTGTGTGTGACCTCCGGCACTTTCCAGTACGTTTGTGGTGGCCAGTGTAGCTGAGTTGGGGAAGCAGGTGAAAAGAGATGAGACAGTGTTTGAGATCCCATGTGCTAGAAGCTCCTACGACAAAAATGAAAGAACATTGTTTTTTTGATGACATTAACACTTTGCATTTACAAATTCATAACTCTGGCCTTACTAGCGCCATGCTCCACCAGTCGAACCCAGGAAAACTGTTTAGAACTTGGATTATTATTACAGTGTCTACCTGATTTGGATCAATGGAGTATCCATGCTTATCAGCATAAATCATGGCTAGAGATACAGAAACAGCGTAGGCAACAAGGGTGATAGCAACTGTGTCACCAGCAATTTCTGGAACAGTCTCCAATGCAGGCAGCCGTGGCTTAGGGAAACTGAAAAGTTGTAAATATTTAGCTTCAAGTTTTAGTTAAACTGCAGGATGTATATTTAAAATGCAGGTTAGATATACTTCAATATATCAATGCATTAAATTGATCAAAAGTGACAGTAAAGACTTTTGCATTGTTACAAACACATTCTTTTGAATTTCATATTCAAAATATGTCAAAATGAATTTCAGAATTTCAAAACTCAAAATGCATTGAGTTTTCCACAAAAATATTAAATGGCATGACGTCTTGGTTACGTATGGTAACCCTTGTTCCCTGATGGAGGGAACGGAGATGTTGTGTCAAAGTTCCGACACTAGAGGTCCCACTTTGGAGCCCGGACACCTCTGACATCATAGAGAAAAGGCCAATGAAATTGGCGAGCAAAATTTGCGTAGCTGGCCACGTCCTTTAAATAGTCCAGCATTGCATTTGCCCACTCTGAGCAAATGTTCTGAGAAGTCGACAAGAGTCTCAACCCACTCAGAAGCAGTTCAGAGTTGTGGCATAAGGGACACAATGTCTCTGTTTCCTCCATCAGTGAACGAGGGTTACCATATGTAACTGAGACATTCCCTTTCAGTCGGTCACTTCGACGTTGTGTCGAAGTTCCAACACTAGGGGTCCCTATACTAAATACCACAGCTGCTGAACTGCGTTATGAGTCCATGGGGTCACAGGTATTGACAAGTCCAGCATGCCACAACCAAATGCACCTCTCCTCCTCGTAACCTTCCAACGCCCAAGACTTATGACCTCGCTCTCCAACATCAGGGAAAGCCGCCAAAAAAGGCAGAAGTCACCTCCAGCTGGAGCCTTTTCTCATTTTGAGAAAAGTAAGAAATATGACAGTTGAGAAGTCCTGGTTGTAACGTAGGGGAAGAGTTTGTTTCCCCAAGTGGGGAAAGAATACTACGGAGACCACATCCTACCCAAAGGGGAGGTAACATGTGGAGTTCACTCGAGGGATATTAACTCGTAATGGATTCTTGTAGCAAGTTCCTCCGCTAAACTCAGCTACGCTTGAGTCATGGAAGGGTAGTCCAGGGTTCATAAGAAGGAATTGAACTGGACTCAATAAGCGCACATTACCACCTCACTTAATGCAAGCTCTACACCCTACCAGCCATCTGAGTTTAAGAGCTAGTGCTCAAAACTCTAGATGAAACTGGTTCCATTCGCAGATTGTAGAATCTGGCAAATCTATCAGGTGTAGACCAACCTGCAGCTCTACAAATATCTGCTAATGAGGCACCATTTGCTAAAGCTGACGAAGCAGCAGTTGAGTGTGGTTGAGTGTGCCCTCACTCCCAGTGGGCATGGTAAGCCTCTGGCCTGATAGACCATAAGGATTGCATCCACAATCCAGTGGGAGATCCTTTGTTTGGAGACAGCATTCCCCTTCTGCTGATCTCTGAAGCAGACACAGAGCTGTTCAGACAGTCTGAAACTCTGTGTGCATTCCAAATAGATGTGTAGGGCTCACACCAGGCACAACAGAGACAGGTCAGGGTCCCCCTCCTGTGGGGGGATAGCTTGCAAGGTTACCACCTGATCTCTAAAAGTGTGGTGGGTGGTGGGAACCATGGGCACATATCCAGGCCAGGGTCTCAGAACAACGAGAGAGTCTGCCAGCCTGAATTCTTGTTGTGATTCATAAACAGAGAGGGCTTGAAGATCCCTTACCCTCTTGATAAAAGTGAGCACAGTCAGGAAGGCCGTCTTCATAGAGAGGGCACTAAGTCCAACTGATTGAAGGGGCTCAAACGGATCTCTCTGTAAGGCCTGAAGGACCACTGAGAGATCCCAAGAGGGAATGAGGCACGGCCTTGGAGGATTCAACTTCCGGGTGCCTCCTATGAATCAGATCATGCTTCTCCACTGATCTGCAATGTACAGTGTCGTGGCCACGTACACCTTGAATGTAGATGCAGACGGGCGCCTGTCGAGGCTCTCTTGGAGGAAGGATATCACAGATCTGATGCCACATCTCCAAGGATCCTTCCCATAGGAAGAACACCAATTCACAAAAATGCGCCATTTCAGGTCGTATAGCCTCCTTGTAGAGGGGGCCCTAGCCTGCATAATGATATTCACCACTGCAGGTGAAAGACCAGAGTTCCTCCTGGTCACGTCAAGGGACCAAACACGGAGGTTCCAGAGATCTGGGAGCGGGTGCCAGATTGTGCCCTTCTCTTGGGAGGTGTGAGCCTCGGTGCCATGCCCATCTCAGGACTCGGGTATGAAGCCCATGCTGAAGCGGTCTCATATGCATCAGGTCCAATGGCGTAAGCACAGCTGAGGATGCCGTATGCCCCAGAAGCCTCTGACCTTCATAGCCCGGAGGGCATAGTCAGTCGCTGAACGCAGTTCCTGCATGCTCCGGGTTGGGACCACCCTTGTGCAGACCCTGGCCTGAAAACCTGCAGGACAGCCATGGTATGCAGAGCGGACGCAGCTTGTCCAGAAACAGCATAAGCTCTCACCACAAGGGACGAGGTAGCTTATATGGGGGCAGTCGTGGCCTAATGGATAGAGAGTCAGACTTGTAACCTGAAGGTCGCGAATTCGAGTCTCAGGTCCGGCAGGAATTGTCATGGGGGAGTGAATATCCAGCACTCTCTCCACCTTCAATACCACGACTGAGGTGAGACCCTTGAGCAAGGCACCGAACCCCCAACTGCTCCCTGGGTGCCGCAGCATTGGCTGCCCACTGCTCCGGGTGTGTGTTCACGGTATGTGCACGTGTTTGTTCACTACTCACTGGTGTGTGTGTGCACTTGGATGGGTTAAATGCAAAGCACAAATTCCAAGTATGGGACACCATACTTGGCCACGTCCTTTCTTTTCCTATATGCTCTGGACGGGAGTCCCAGACAGCCCCTCCAGGTGGTGGCGTTTCACACACAAAATGCACCGCAATCGCTTTCTCCACCCGGGGGACCCCTGTGAATTCTCTTGCTGGACTGCTGTCAAGGGTGGTGAGAGCGGAGGAACCAATGTATCGTGTTCTGGCAGAAAGGTGCCTTCCACGATTTCATCAACTCCTTGTGCACTTCTGGGAAGAAAGAAACTGGGGCGGAGTGTGGCTGAGTGTCACGGTTGGTCTCCAAGAACCAATCATTCAAGTGAGAGCGCTCAGGACAGGGTGGAAGAATCCACTCAAGCCCGATGCTCTCTGCTGCCTGGGTAAGCACAGCTGCCATCTCAGTAGGGTTGGGTACCGAAACCCGGTGCCAATATGGCACCGGTACCTATGTAACCGGTATGTACTAGAACAGAATCAGAACGCAGATTTCGGTGCCTCATTTCGGTGCCACTTAAATGCTTGAGTGATCGATTGAAATATTTGTTCTCTGGTTCTCCGAAACGGACATAAGGATCACCGGCACCGCACGTGAAAAATAATTTCCCGACTGAGAAAATTCTAAGAATGCAAGTCGGAAAGCTCTAATAATACAAATCCAACACATCTTTGTAGTAACGTGAGTGTCCATGTTGTTTTCACATTCCGACTTAAAAGCACAACTCGGGAAATGAGAGCATCCGAGGAGCGCATGAATGCAGCAATTACACTTGCTCTGATGACAGCAGGTAGATACCGTTAGCTAGCTAAGCTAAACATTCTTAAATTAAAATGCCAAAAGCTAAACTTCCCTTGTAATGACTTGCAATGAGAAGCGTTTCTAAACCTGTTGTCCAACAAAAGAGAACATTATAACGTTTTTTACTCCACAACTGCTTCCTTTTGTGATCTGATGTGGCTTCTTGTCACAGAATGAGGCAGAAAATATGTTCTATACTGTAAAAAGCATATGGTAAAAAGGCTATGTCGATTAGCAATGGATTATATACTTAATTATGATGAAAATATCAAAGATGGCTTGAATAACACAGATAAACTATACTGATGCACATGTGGAGTTTCTGCACGAGGGCGCCCTCTGGCGTCCAGTATGAATGAAACAGACATTAAATGTTTTTATAGCGCTCAATAATGGCCAATCCATCCTATCATTTTTTTTTTTTTTTTAAGTATCGGTTCAGGCACCGTTTAGGCACTGGAACCGTTTTAAAAGTATCGATTTGGCACCGGGATCGTAAAAAACCCAAACGATACCCAACCCTACATCTCAGCGTCAGGCTCAGACCAACGCACAGCACCCAGAAGTGCCAGTTTATTTGAGTCATACCCAGAAGTAGAAGGGCCAGGACGGGAAGCAGCTGAGGTGACTCGTGGTCTTTTTAAATAAGAACGCGAGCCACGAGTGCAATGTGCCGATAGCTATGTCCTCACAAGAAGGACATAAACCATCCACAAAAGCTGCTTCAGCATGGGCACCAATTTCATTGGCCTTTTCTCAATGATGTCAGAGGTGTCTGGGCTCCCAAGTGCAACCCCTAGTGTCGGAACTTCAACACAACGTTGAAGTGACCGACTGAAAGGGAACTGTTTTTAACACTGATAATGATAAGATATATTTCTTGATCGCCAAATCAGCACATTAGAATGATTTCTGCAGACTGGAGAAATGACTACATAAAAATCAGCTTTGCCATCACAGGAAAAAAATTACATTTGAATATATTAAAATAGAAAACATTTTAAACTGTAATAATATTTAACAATATTACTATTTTATTGTATTTTTGATCAAATAAATGCAGCCCTTGGTAAGCACAGAAGACTTCTTTCAAAAACATAAAAAAAAAAATTATATATTATTTTAAAAAATACATCATTAAAAAAAGACTATATTACCCTGCTGGAATGTGTCCTACTATCTGTATGTCATATTTGGAATCCAAAGAAAAGGCATATGTAATTCCTGTTGCAATTATTACCTGCAGGAGCCACAAGAGAATGAAAGATTATTTTTCACAGTGTAGACAACAGCAGAAACTAAGATGATGAAATTCTCATTATATTGGACTAGTTGTCGGGTGAATGGCAAATATTTGTATAAAAGTTCATTTGCTTATTTATGTCTGTAATTCACACAGTATCACAGAAATTGGAAGGAAAATAAGCACAAAGGTGAATAAATGTTTTACTGCTCCACTGTTCTAAATATCTGTTGTGGAGTGCAAACTCACAGTGATGATCTCCACGGGGATGGGAGTGCGCAGACGCTCCCGAAAGCGTGAGTTGACCTCTTTAACTGGCACCAAAACAGCCAGGCAGAGCAGTGAGATCACCAGCTCAGCCAAATTAGTGTTGGGCACATTCTCCATCACTGAAGCCAGAGTCTGTGGGTTTAAAAGGAGCTACTGACATGCCTAACTCATTTTTGCTCAGTTATAGTCAGTGATACTGCAGTAGTTGTAGCTAGAATTATTAAACTAATAACCAGAACAGAAAAAACAGTCTGTGTTACACCATTTCTGACCTTAAAAAGAGAGAAGGCACCAGCATATCGGGGTAGCCGTAATCCCAACATGCTTTGCAGCTGTGAAACGGTCACATGGAAGGCAGCTGCACTTGTGAATGCCTTAACAATCGGTTCTGAGAGGTATGTGGAAAGGAAACCCAACTGGAGCCCGCACATGCAGAGCTGGGACAATAAAAACAAGCAAAATGCTATAATAATTCTGTAGTCTGAGTCTAATATTTCATCAGACAACATATTGCTTAACAAAAACAGACAGATGCTATGTGTTTAAATCCAGTAGATATGTCTTACCATCATTATGCCTGAGAGAAATGCTACAGCTGATGCCACACCAATCCTCTGGGCCTCAAACTCTGTGCCCTCTGGGCTACTGGAGTTCAGAGCGAGCGGGATGGGAACTAGTTGCTCCACCACTGAACCAGTCATCAGACTCAACACAGCAAAGGTACCTACAAAAGTCAAACTCTTGAAATGGTATTTCATTTTCTTGGTTAAACATGGTTGCAGATTAATTACACTGTAAATACTGAAGCACTCTTGGGAATATTGGTATCTAAAATGTAATAGGTGAACAAATTTGTGGAAACTTTGTGGAACCAGGTTTTTAATACCAGTTTTTTCCCCACAGCGCTAAACTATGGTAAATGAAAGTCTTTTACCTGTAGAAACGTGGTGACCAGTGCCGAAGAGCATATAGAGAACTACAGGGAAGAAGGATGTGTAAAGGCCATAGACAGGTGCCACTGATGTCAACAAAGCAAAGGCCATTCCTAGCAAACAAACAGTATGTTTTATCATTTATGTTGTCTTGAATATGGGTCAAAGACATGAAGCATATTTCATCTACTAAACTAAAATACATTAAAATTTAAATTCAAATTCTTGAATATGCAGTTTATAATATGAATATGTTATCAACATCGTAATTATTCTCGGAATTATTATTATTATTATTATTTATTACTTGTAATCGGTCAACAATCTATATCAAACTGACCGCGTAAAGAACATGTAGGACGCCATATTACTGTCATGTGACAAGAAAAGTTAAATAAATAAATTTGGCCGATTTATGAAAAGTTTTGTTCAGGACGAATGGAGTAAGAAAACGTCACGATATTTGTTCTAAACATTTCTTAATATATTATATTTCGTATTATATTATATTCCAAAATATATATTTTTGACAGTAGAAAACACCTTTTTAAAGTAATTATTAAGTTGTGTATACTCCCGTGTACTATTCAAGTTGCAAATAAATTATCGTATCTCTTCTTATTTGATAGGTAATACCTTATTTATTAATTTATTTGAAAAAATGTTATTTTTTCTTATTGAAATGTTATTAAAAACGTTAATAACATATCAAAAAGTATAAAACAAAATCGATATATAATTTATTTGATAATTATATAACGTATTTTTACAAACAACTCATTTTTATACTTTTTAAGTTTATATTAAAGTAGCCTAACAGCCTAAAATGTGTTTAAAGATTTAAAAAGTTTCTCTCATCAAAGAGAAACTCATACAAAAATATGTTGTTAAATACGTTCACGTGAATGATCTTAACCTGATTTTATGTAATAACTTTGTCATATTGTCGAACTATCTCTTTCTCTTTACTATTTCATTGCCTACTACAACTTAAAAAAAAACTAAGTAATTAAAGTTTATTCTATTTTTACCTTGGGGAATGTGCACTATTCCAACAGTCAGCCCCGCTATGATATCTCCTAAAAGCCATTTCCTGATCTTGTATTTTGGCAGCCAGCTGCACACGGGCAGTCTCTTCTTGAGCAGGTGAAGACAGTCCACCTGAGAGCAGCTGCATCTCTGCGCCAGTCTGTCGCGGAGCCGCTCTCTCCCTCCAGACTGGTCTTCCGTACCATACGTCTGTCTGAAGCGATCCTCAGTGTATATATTTCTATGTACTGCCACTGATGCGCTCATATCGTCCTAAAGTGTTCTTCTGAGAGCAAGGTAAATAATCTTCAGAGTTAAACTGCTCCAAACAAGTGCCCAACCCCTCATTTATAGGAGTCGCTGGAATTTGACATCATTGTATTTTCATGTCAAGTACTGGAGCCAATTAAACACCAGTGTCTTTTTTTTTTTTTTAGGTAAAGTCAAAATCAAACAGCAAGAAACATCCTACTTTTATGAAACAGGCTCCATAGGTATACTTGAAAAACCTCAATGTTATGTCTTCCAGGTCCTGCCGCTAAAGGCTTTTTTTACAAAACAGACAATGACATGAACACTCATCTTTAACACATAGACCTGCTCTCAGTCCCTCCTCCTAACTCTTCAAACAGACTCTTTCTTCATGGCCTTGACATGAGGAGTCATGTTGTATAGAATGTGTACAATGTATTGCTCTGTGTGACATCTGCATGAGGATCAAAGTACTATTGTTTACAGGATGAAGGTGAAACCTCAAACCACAACTATTACTGATTATGAGAGGTGGTCATTTCCGAGAAGGGGGTCGATTTCTCCCTGCCTTTTTAGTGTCTTCATGTGCTTTGAGGAACCAAAGCTGCTTTGTGAAGAGTAATCATATATGTTTTCTTTGCCTCGCTGATCAAACCGCAATATGACTCTGGCGAGCATGCACTCTTTTTATTCCGTTAAAGGGATAGTTCACCCAAAAATGAAATCTATGCACTCTCAGGCCATCAAAGATGTTGTTTCTTCACCAGAACAGATTTGAAGAAATTTAGCATTACATCATTTGCTCACCAGTTTATCCTCTGCAGTGAATGGGTGCCGTCAGAATGAGAGTTCAAACAGCTGATAAAAGCATCACCATAATCCACAAGTAATCCACACGACTCCAGTGAATCAAGTAAATTAATTGTGAATTGAAAAGCTGCGTGTTTGTAATAAACAAATGCAGCATTAAGACATTTTTAACTTTAAACTGATGCGTCAGGCCAAAATACGAGTCCACTAACCATAATATTGCTTTCTCCAGTGAAAAAGTAATCTCGTCTGATTTAGGAGAGAAATAGGCACAGATCAAGCACAATTTACGAGTGAAAACTGTCCAGAATGGTTCTAAACAAAAAAATGTTGATGTGAGAAGACAAAAGCGGACTTTTTCACTGGAGGAAGCAATATTATGGATTATGGACTCGTATTTTGGCCAGAAGCGATGGTCTAGTTAAACATCTTAATGATAGATTTGTTTCTTATTTCACTTCACAAGAATTTAATTTTGAGTTGTGTGGATTACTTGTGGATTATTGTGATGCTTTTATCAGCTGCTTGGACTCTCATTCTGACGGCACCCATTCACTGCAGAGGATTCATTGGTGAGCAAGTGATGCAATGCTAAATTTCTCCAAATCTGTTCTGATAAAGAAACAAACTCATCTACATCTAAGGCGAGTACATTTTCAGCAAATTTTCATTTTTGGGTGACATGTTCCCTTAACTTTTAAGACTACTTTTAAAATAAAATATAAAAAACTTAAACTTTAATCAACTTAAACAAAAGTATTTTATTACTTGTTATAATTTATTAATTATTATAATTATTTCAACTAGTTGCCAAGGCAACAGTTCTCATTTTTCTTTAATGTAACTTGGTGTCAAAATAACAAAATAACAAAATAAACTAAAACTAATAAATCAAAATTAATAAAAACTATATAGACATTTAAAAAAAATTATGAAAAATTAAAAGAAGTGACAAAAACAAAAAAATTACTAAAGTTTTAACTTAAATCAGTGAAAACAAAAAAATATATAAAAAATATATAAAAAATATACAAAAAACCTACAATAGTATATCAATATTACTTAACTCAGGGTTATTAGCATTAATTAAAAATTTATTAAAAATCCATTTTCATTACTTGAAATAAAATAAACATAAACTAAAATAAAATATAAATACAGACATTTTCTGTAAAAAAAACATTTAGTTTAAACTGAAGTACTAAAATAACTAAAAGTAAATAACTTCAATATACAGGTATATTTAAAAAAATAAATAAAAATGACATAAACAAACAAACAAAATATACTACAACTTTTAAACTTCAAATAAAAACAGAAAATATCTAAAAATCTAATTTAAAATATGAACAAAAATGATTAAAACAATGATACTAAAATTACACTGCTTCTGACTGACAGAGACTTTGAGAATGCAATATGAACAAGAGAAGTAATTTAGAATTAAGAGAATTTATCAAATATAATCGTTTAATATAAAAATCATGCAATTTGATGTATTTTGAAAACAGGAAAGTCAGTCCAACACTTTAAATAAATACTTTCTCTGATTGAGGGAAAAATGGCTAAAGTGCATGAACTTTATAACTAATTATCTCATTCATTCTTTAACAGATTGTTCCCAATTATTACACAAACATTTTATATCAGCATTAGCCATTAATTTAGTAAGCTCTTTTTGTCACTGTGGCTATTGCTAAAGACAAAGCAAAAGCCAATGAGAGGGGATGTCTTCACAATGTCTTCACCATTGGGTACATTCCAAAATGTGAAGTGTATCCATTTTGGGTGTATTTTTAATTATAAGTGAAAAATACAGTTGTTTTGATCTCATATTCCAAGAATCTCCAGGTCTCTGTAGATATGCTCTGATATGTGGAGGCTTTTTGTCAAGGAATGCAGCTATTGTGTTCATCAGCTCAGGAGAATTTATGGACACGCTGATGGCGTGTTGCGTCTGGTGGCTGTTTAAACAAGATATTAATCAGCAGTGAAAGTAGCAATGCGCTGAATGGAAGAGGATATGGAGTGTTGAACCCCCCTCAAAAGCAAGACAAAGCTCAAGCACTCCAAGTAAAGACAGGTTATGATAAACCAGACAATATATACAGTATAAACAAGAGTGATTCACTTTGACTGGAGTGTGTTTACAGTCTAATCTGGATGTCAGTCTGCTCTGAGTTGACAGAAGATGCTGAGTCTCAGGCATATTTCCCCACTGACTGCCCAATAGTCTGTATAAAAAGCAGAATGAAGAAAGCATTTGGAATTTTTTAGCTCTTTTTAAACATATTACACATTTGTGAAATGATTTTAATGCATTTCTTTTAACAAATCCAAAGGAAAAGTGCAAAATTAGTGTGGTTACAGAAAGTTGGATATGTTGTCTCATTGCATAGTTTGTATTGCATAAAATAAAGCATGTTAGGGAGACAAACTTGGTTTTCTTTGGCTAGAAATCTTTCTGTGGTATAATTTCCCTATTGTATATGCAATAATTGCATTAGAACAATATCTTGTTAACCTTCATGCCCCCCTCACGCTGAGAGTGTGTTGTGGTGCTCAGCTATTGTCGTCTGCTTCATCATGCTGATCTTGTTTTGGGAGGGGTGTCATAATAATTTGTCAAAATTCGATAGTTCCTCTCATTGTTCCTTGTCTTTTTTATGGGCTACTTCAGCTGACCTCCACTGGTATGTCCTTTGCTCTGACCTCGATAACGAGACGGATGCTGAACCTATCTTTCTGTCGCCATCCGACCACCTCTCCCTTCCCGTTCAATCACGAGTACGTCTCCACATTCATTTGATAGGTTATAATGAATAATGATTAGTTTTCCTTTGCTCCTTCAGCTATTGTGGTCTCTCCGTACTGCTGTACTGCATGACCGTCTTAGCAGTACTGGGCACATCCACACAATTTATTGCTTCATGTATCTGGCTGTATTGTGCAACCTGCACTTTTTACCTTTTATCATTTTACCAATTTCTTTGCTGTTGTTTAAATGGCTGTTAACAATCATATAATACATGCAATGTTTGTGTGCCAATGAATGGCAATACATAAACTGAATTCATAGAAAATCTACTATATACATATATGTTTTTCAATATATTGCATACATTAACATAATTAAAAAATGTTATTATATACTTATGTATAACAAAATTAGATTTTTTTTCTATATTAATTTTAGTTGGAATTTACATCATTATTATCCATAATTCAAAATTCTGTATTTTGAAATGTAATTATAATAATTATATGTATATCCAGAAGCAACATTTGCAAAAATTATAATACATGCAACGTTTTGTGTTTTTTTATTCATAAAAAGTAATATATAAATAAAAATGGTAAGACATTATCATTTTATTTTACTATAAATATTTAATTAATATGTACATCCCCCAAAAAAGTATCATACAAATTTTATAATATTATTCCTAAATATTATACCAGTTCTGCACATAATCAGCCAGAAAATAACTAATTATGAAAAAAGAAGGTCTGGGGTCATTGAGTGCTGATGCATGTAATGTTTTGAGTAAAATGGAACTTATAATTAAAAAAAAAAAAAAATCTTATTCCACAAAAAATTAAATAAATAAAAAAATAATAAATGTTATATAATTTAAAAAACTAATTTAACATATTATATAATTTTATATTTCTGTATTATATAATTTAGATTTTTTTTTCTACATTAGTTTTAATCTGAAAATAATGTGTACTGCAAAAAAATAATAAAAAAATAAATAAATAAATAAGTATCATACAAATTATATGATATTATTCATAAATGTTATACCAGCTCTGCACATAATCAGCCAGAAAATAACTGATTACGAAAACAGAAGGTTTGGGGTCATGGAGTGCTGACTCAGAAAATGCAGGCCAACAAAATGCTTACAAAGTTTAAATTATTTTGAACCATGGTAACTTGTCTTGTCATTGGGAAAACAAGAGTGTGACCAGCGTCTGAACAGCAGCAGGACAGGAAGGGGAGTGGAAGGACATGCAGTGACCTTCTGTTCTCTGAGAAGGATAAACCCTAGCAACACCTTGACCTCTGATCTCACACTTCTATTTTAATATTTGATAGATTTTATAAATACACAATCTTCTCAACGTTAATGGTATTGATGACTTCAAAATTATAAGTGTAGCATTAGATTGCGCTATAGGGAATTATTGTTCCCGGCCCTTACTTTTAGCATTGTGCTGCTC